CGGACGATCGGCGAAGAGAAGATCGGCGGATGATCGGCGGAAGACCCTTCTGCAGTTCTGTTAGTACTTGGTTGTTGGTTCCTCTTCCTCCTGAATCTGGGTTTTGCAATTTGTTTCCACTTTCCAGTTTCCAGTGTCCCGAGCTCCTCATGATCTTAGATGTTAGATAACTTAGATTCTTAGGGTTTTTAGTTTTTACTTTACTTAGTTAATTAGTTTAATTAATTTTTAATTTAAGTTTTAAACTTTAATTTAAGCCAAAAGAACAAAACTTAAAATTAAAAAGATGGGTGAAAAACTGAAAATTTCAGCCCGGGCGAGCATGGTGGGTCGAACGAGTCCAGCGGGCACGACGGGCTTGCCGGGTTTCAACGGGTTTCAACGGGCCATTCACCTAAACGGGCTGAAGCCTTCAACCGGCCCGTTTTCAGGCCCGGGTCCGGTCAACCGGTTCAACCGGCCGGGCCGGGCCGGGTTCAAAAACATTGATTGGTAGTAAATGACTTCAGTACTTCTTGAAAGTTTCCCAAATTTTGTGTCACATTCATTAGGCATGAATTGTTATTGGTGTATAATATTATTTCGAAATAATTATCAAACACTCTAATAGTTTTTGTGAAAGCACAATATAGGGAAAGTCACAACCATAAGATTATACAGTAGTCTCAAAAGCAGCCAAAATCCATCAAAATTTGATAAAGCTCAGCCGCTAGCAACATTCAACTTTCAAGCGTTTGAAAAAAAAAATGGATTAAGTGAAAAATAAAGCACAAATGTTACTTTTAATTCAGACTTGCAGTTAACCAGGGTTAGAAACGAGTAAAATACGTTTAAAAAATAGTGCACATGTTTGAAGTTATTAATTTATTAATAGTTTGTTTGCCTTTAAAACGAAGTAAAGATAGAGAGGACTTTGAGGAGAGTAGGAGAAGAATAGAACTTAGAACAAAGATATAAAACATAAACATAGAATGGTGCAGACACTTACCCAACCAGGGAGGAATGGAGAAGTTCTTCTCCAACTCTCACATTTCCATTAACATCTCTGTCCTTTATAGCACAGACATTCAACATAAAAACAGTATTCTTAACTTACTTTTCATGATTTATGGTATAAGTTTTTTAAAAGGATAAGAATTGATATATAATTCGATTCAATATATTGTATAAATATTTATTAAAAAATTATTATTATTTATTTAAAATTAAAAGTAAACAAATTTAAAGATATAATTATGTACACAAAAATGTTAAAACTAATTAAATTAGTTGTACTTTATTATATTTTAATAACTAAACCAAAATTAGTGTTAGAAAATGTGTTGAATTAAACATATAGCAATCATTTTTCTTCCTAAAAAATCTATTATACCATTTAAATCAAATATTGTAATACATAAACTAACATAAAAAAGTAAATTGAAACACTATAACATTGCAGAAACCTTGCTGCCATTTTCTGTCACATTGCTGCACTTTTGTTGACAAATTACAGCCTCCATTTGCATTTCATTTCATTTTCTTCCATAACGAAGCTTTCTTTGCTGCACTTTTCTTTTTCCCCCCATTGAAGCAACTTTGTTGCTCCATTTTGTGCCATAAACGCAGCTTCTTACTACACCATTTTACCGTTTTCTGACAGCAACATCATATCTTTGATGACACTGCTTCAACAAAGGTATCATTTAAAAAAAAAAAAAAAAAATTCCTGTGGGTATACTATTGTAACTTAGGTTTTCTTACTCTTTCTAATATTCATTGATATGTTCATTCATTATTTTCTACGAGGATAATTACATTATATTCCAACCATTCCCAAAATGTATAGTCCATGGAAGAGAGTATACTAATTCTTCACCTAATACATGTCAATCAGCTATACATAATAAATACATTTTCACAGAACATAAGTTACATTCCAATAAAGGAAAACCATAGTTTCTTCTTGATTAAGGCTTAAGATTGCTATCCCAGTGCACTTTT